TCTTGATAAACGTTTTTCTGGTCATTCGAAAATTGGATATATAAAATATTTGAATATTCTATGAATATACGCTCTTGCATTCAAAAATGCCATCTCATACTTAATGCCTCTTTTAGCTTAAACGTTGAGGCTCTCGTTTTCAACTTCAGTTTTCTCGATCGATATAACACCTGAATCTTCGAAGGGTTACTAAAGTAAAGGTGCTCTTTCCAGTGCTGGTATTGGTTTTTCTCTCAGATTAATTTTAACTCAACTGAATTGGCAGCCGCCATTTTGGCAAGGGGTCTATTGACAGTTAACTACTAACCTGTCGACACCCTGAAACAGTATTTCATTGAGGAGGCTAGTTTGGTCATTTGATGCCGACCTCTGCGTTGCATAACTCATTCTTATTGAAAACTGCTTATGCTGCCCATGATTATCTTTKTACTTTTCTCTCTTTTTCTAGACTTGGATCAATGTTATAAGTTGTCGCCTTGATACTTCATAATTATAATAATTATATGACTTTGATGAAGATGTTTAAACTTTTAATTGACATGTTTCGACGTTGTCAAACGGCATCCTCAGAAGTGAAGTACAACTGAATTATTTTTCTTTCACACCTTATCTACTTAATTCAACTCCTTTGCTCTATTTATATGTTGTGTACACTTGTACTTCACTTTCTGAGGATGGYGTTTGACAACGTCGAAACATGTCAATTAAAAGTTTAATGATCTTCATCAAAGTCATAAACAGGTTCTTGCTGCTTCGACCATTTGGCTCAATAATTATATAGAGAAATAGTACCGGCTGAACGCAGGCTAACCTTGCTACGTATAAAACATTAGTCGTACGTGGTTACATTGGGCTATTTCCCGTAATAAAACGTCTGAAAACCCACGGTTAACTTATTTTTGAGCTTAACCGACATTTCCCAAGGTAAMTTCACCGTGGTGAAATACCATAGATACATCAAAAAGAACAAAAAAGGCACCAATGACATTTACCCAGCTATTAAAGAGCTAGGTTTTTCAGGAAATCACATGCTGTGACTGTGATAGCAGCGTTGTACCACGACCTCTTGCCTGGAATTCGCGATTGGCTGTGAATATATTTTCATTTTTATACCCATCAAGCGACTCCGTATAAAACAGAAACTAGCAGTTTAAAAATCTCCTCTTTTTATAGTAACGATAAATTATACAACAGATACCTCTTCCAGTCTGTGTGTAACTGCTGTTAACAAGTTAAGCTAATACACCACAGGAATTGCAGGAATTTATGTTGTACGATATTTATTTTCTTGTAACAACCCCTTGACACAATTTTTTTGTGTTTGATGAATATTTCCTTTACTGAAACGATAGGTTGCGCGATATTTTTTTTCATAGGTGAAGTGCTTGCTTGATATTTTTTGGGATTTACGCAATCCCCTTATCAATTACCTAATGATCCGTCCGCCTAGCCTGTCCAGTGAAATCCTCGAAGATATTTGGTTAACTTTTTGTTACTATAAATTTTTAAATTATGTTGCTTTGTAACCCTTTCTTTTCGATCTTAGACCGGCTTAAAATGAATGGTAAATCTAAAATGCGTGGAGTGTAGACTYGACAGAGGGCGTTGCGGACTTCAAATATTACATCATACAGGCTARATCAAGTGAAGATAATAGATAATGATAAATAACATTTCCAATTCTCAGGAGATTGAAATTCTTTTGTTTTGTTCTCCAAATTAAGCTGCTTTAACATCACATGCAATTCGTCTATTGAGAARGGGGTTGCGTAAATATAATTCCCAAAAAAAAAAAACCGAGCAAGCACTTCACCTACAAAAAACGCGCAACCACTATTTTCAGCAAAGAAATAGTATCGAGCAAGTATACACACACAAAGCGTGCAGCAGAAATAAATACTCTGCGACAAGTTTGCAACCTCCCTTTCAATTATCTAATGCCTCATGATTCCTAATAGTAGCTATAGTTTCTTACCTGTACTGAAGGCAAGCCAAATCTCTTCTATTGAAGCATCAAAACTTGGAGAAAACCCCTGCAGAATTCTGTCACTCGTACAAACAGGGTAAATCTCCAACTCAGCGTCTATAAAATTCAATACAGTTCTGTGTTCGATCTCTACGCCTTTTGGGTTGCCGGTGGATCCAGATGTATAGATGATATAGCAAAGATTTGAAGATTTYACTTGGATGTTCAACGGATCTGCACTGAATGACTCGATATCTTTGTTAACTAAAGCACTCTTGATGTCAATGACACTTGTATCCTCAGGCTCTACGCCTAGTTCTTTTTGGAYATCCTCTGTTGTAACCAGCAACACTGCTTTCGTGTCTTTTAAAATATAATCAAGCCTGCTTATCTGGTGTTGTGGGTCAATACACACATACGCTGCTCCTGTCTTTAACACACCAAGCATGGTGAGGTACAACTCTAGAGAGCGAGGAAGCAAAATCGCTACAACACTCTCAGTTTGAATAGGAAACTTTTCCACAAGAAATCTCGCCAACTGATTGCTTCTTCCATCGAGGTATGAATAACTATAATCCTCAGATTCGTACTCAACAGCAATGTTGTCCGGAAACTTTTTTGCTTGCTCTGAAAACAAGCTGTGCAAGTTAAGAGGAMTTTCGTCTTCTTGACTAAAACCAACGTTAACTTCGGCCATGACAAAGTTTTCAATATKCAGCTTGCGAAGATGGTACGACCATCTCTTTCTTTGATGACGTCATGTATTCTCTGTCAGGCTAACTTGCTTTTCTTATGCTTGTCCAGCTTGTCCCACRAGGGAACCAATCAAAAATCGACAAATTAGAAAGAAAGCTTTATCTACATGATAAGCTGCATTATTTGTTAGCATGAAACATAAGACATGATTCAAGCCCCACTCAAATTTCACTCTCGGACTGAACATGTGACCTGAAAATCTGGTACTCTTATTTATCGACCGGTGAAAATGATCACAATCATCCGTTAGTGTTGATGAAAAACTGTTAAAAACCATGACAAGAATCAGTGTATGTATCACATGTTGGGAATAAAACAATAGCTTACCCAAAAGAAGAGATTTGCTGGCCTCGAGGTGAACATGACACTGAACAGTGCTGTCCAGTACCCTGACGTAGTCGCTCACGAGGACCTATCGGATTATCATTCAATGCCTTCCACCGTTGTTCAAAGGAATGTTTCTATAGTCGACACATGTCTACAGAGAGTTATCGAAGAAAACAAGCGAACGAGGCCAGAGCAAGACGGAAATAAAGTCACGTAAAAGTTTTTCTATTTTGCATTCTAACGCCACAGCATCCCGGGCACAGCATTCTCAGATTTTAGAAGCTCCTGGTTAATATTTTGTGTCAGCCCCGCTCCAATGCAGTGACAGACAATAGGCGGGTTACAATAGCTGGGAGGGGAGCCAG